CCAGAGAAACCAAGGGCCCTGTCCAAGATCACATGGTTAAAAGAGGCAGAGCAGGGATTTGAACTCAAGCCTGTTTGGGACTTGGACCACCAGGGAAAATCCACGTGCTGTGGTCACTGCTGTCACATCCCACGAAACCCTGGGAGGCTCACTGACTCTTCAGTGCTCAGTTGTTTATAATTTATAGTTCCTGCCCTCTTCCAGAAGTTTAAGTCGGCTTCCCAGAAAGATGTGTACGTTCAAGGAGTAGCAGAGAATCAGAAGCACAAGGCTTTGGAGGCAGCAGGGGGCCCAGCAGGACTTGGGGGTGGGAACGTGCGCCAACTCCCACCTAGGACTGGGCGGTGGTGGCGTCATAGAGCCCCTGTGAAGTCACCCAGTTCCTGGGAGGCCCAGCTATTGGCAGATTCCAGCTTTAATGAGAGCCCCCAAGGTCAAGGTGCTGTGCTGAAGTGAAGGTCAATCCTTTCCTCCCTATGCCCTGGGTTGTCCCCACGATGTCACTGCCCCAGTCCTTGCCCAGCATTCAGTTCATCTGGAGTCATCCCCTTAGTAAGCCTTTCCTTTCCCACTTATGGGTCCCTGTGAAACAATAAAAAGAGAGAGGGCTGGGCTTGGTGTCAGAGACAAGTGGGGATTGAGTCCGTCCCACCTGGGGATGTGACCTGGCCAAGGGATGTACCGCTGAGCGGCAGCTTCCTCATATCTGAATCTGAACAAAGGTGGCGGTGTCAGCCCAGCATTCGTTCCCCCTTCTCCTGCCGACAGCACCCCAGTATCCTCTGGAAGTTTCCCCTCCCTCACCCCCAGTCCCTATGGGACCCCAGCTTTAACTATTTCACCTTATCTCCTGGCCACAGTGACTGATGTCAGGAATAGCCACAGGACTAAAGCCAGACCAAGCAGAGCCAGGTCTGGGACCTTTGTTGGAAGTATTGGGAAAGTGGCAGGGGATGGAGGGATGCGCCCTCCTGGGGCAGCTAAGCTGGTGTTTCAGGTGGCCAGCTTACCACCTTGAGCCAGACCTGCCTGAGAATGTATCCAGCCGGGGGAGAGCAGATAGGGTGAGACAATGACTGCTGGTGACATTGCTTGGGCATCATGATCTAGCCCACCTGAAGCTGTTATACTCGAGACTTGTCAGTAACTTAAGCTTAGTTAGATCATTTATGAAGCTAAGGATCCAGAGATAACTAATTTCCCATCTCTTATTGAGACTCCTTTGTAAGCATGAGAAATTTTTAGCAGATTTCATCAAATATTAAGTGCTGCTTCTTACATATGGACACAATCATTAACCCTCTTTTCATCAAATGTATTTCATTAGAAAAAAAACTCATCCCTGTTCTTGCGTTCTGCCGTTTTTTCTTAGAATAATAATAATAAAATACAAGCCTGCTGTATGTGAGCAAAAAATTCACCAGTCGTTTATTAAGTGCGTTTGTTAAAAGTTTAACATGATTATGGGACTTACTGTGCGCCAAGCACTGTTCTAAGCCCTTTACATATATTACTTCATTAAATACTTATATTATTACAGTGAGGCACAAAGAGGTTAAATGACTTGCTCAAGATCAAGTTCCAGGCCCTGGAATCAAGCCCCTCCCCCCATTCTTCAATGTCCTTCCCAAAGAGCTCTTTCTCTGCAAAGCCTTTTCTGATCTCCCCAACAGGAAGTGCCCCCTGGCCGCCCCAGATGCCCTCACAGAGGCAGGCTGTCACCCTCCTGCCCTGCCCTGCAAGTCAATGGGCTGGGCATGTGTCCTACACCCCATCTGGTTGTGAACCCCTCTCAGCTGAGGCTTAGCTTCCACACAGGCCCATCCATGGTTGTGGGCAGGAAGTCGACAGCCAGCCTCAGCCCCACCAGCAGTCGCCTGGCCTCTTTCTCTGCTCTCCATCATCCGAAGCTCCCTCGAGGTGCCCTGAGGAGGCAAATGAGGGGTGCTCATGGTGGGGGACCTGGAGAGAGGGGTCCTCATCCCCGGACAGCTGAAGACCGCAGGCATCTCTCCAACCCCAGGAGGCGTGGGAAGGAATTGGGACAGGATATCAATGCATCCTGGCCTCTCCCAAACCAGCTGTGTGACTGTCACCTCCCGGTGCCTCAGTTTCCTCACTGGTAAAATGAGGAGGATGGTTAGGGAGAGTCCCTCAGGAACCTAGGAAAGTTCCTGTGGGAATGAGTAAAGCAGAAGTTTTTTACTCATCCAGGAAGCTTTTGGGGTTCCCGGATGGCAAGCTGCCTGCTGGATTTCACTTATGTATTCATTAATGGAGCGCCTATTATGTGGTGGCAGTGTCTGAGGCACTGGGGGTGCTTCAGAGAGTAAGATGGGCAACGATCCGGCTGCCCAGGAGCTCACTCTGCAGCTCTGGTTTGGGGAGGCCTCTGAGCCTCCACCCACAGGGGGCAGCAGGTTTGGGACTAAAGGACCAGGCCCTTCCATGCTGGGTGTGGAGAAAGACTGAGGGTTTGGAGGAGAGAAGAGCGTCCTCCCACCAGCTCCGCCCACTTCCGCCAGGTGACCTTGCCTCTCTGGGCATTAGCTCCTCACCTTCTAAGTGAGAGTTTGGACTGGTTGGCCCCGAAGCCTGCTCTGCCAGCTTTGCATGGCCATTCATGGTTAAACATTACCCACTCTGTGTCCCTCCCTCCCTGCCACTCCTCAGGGAGATCAAGCCATAAACGCTGCCTTCTTCCATCTTCCTCCAGGGCTGTGGGCCTCTGAGAGGGGCCACAGGCATACTTGCTGACTGTCTCCTCTACGCCTGAAGCCAGGGTCTTGAGAGGGGAAGACCGGTGGTCCAGGTCTGGGGCTGGGGGCTTAGAGTGGGGATACTTGGGCCCTAGCCTCCCCCCACCCCATCTGCCTCCAGATGTTTTTTCTTGGTTACATCATGCAAGGCTCTCTGGATCCTTCCCTGAGGAGCTCATGGCTTAATGAGCCCCTCAGGTGCCCTCCTTAGGCAAGATGCCTCAGCCCTCCTGGTTTCTGGGAAACAAAAATAACTCAGAGAGGCTCCTCTCCCATGCCCTTCACAAGCAAGGAGGGCCAGGCCCAGGTGTCATGCCCAGCCCCACCCACCCAGGTGTTTTAAATTATGAGGCTGCCTGTGTACCCATAAATCTCAGGAGTGGGAATGGATCCTAGCCAATATGCAAAGAGCTCTCTTCTCATCTCATTCTTTTCGGTCTTCAAATCAACTTTATAAGTAGGTATAATTTCTTGGTCATCCACAGCATACATACAAGAACACTGAGGCTCCAGGTGATAGACCTGGTGAGTAGAGTGCCAGGTGTCAGAGTCAAGTCTGACTCTAAAGCCCAAACTGGTTTCATACCCACTTCATTGCATAGCAAGAGACTGTTACAGTTAATGCCCTGCTCATGACAGACATCACTAATCAATCATGGCATGGCAGACATTGCTAATCAATTGCAGTGTTCTTTTCTAGTAAGCTCAGAGGCAGCTGTGAACTCCTAAACACAGTACTCCAGGACACCATTTCCTATCAGAAGATCGAATCCACAGTATTTGCCATTCCGGTGAGCCCACACCATCAGCCTTGAGTCCTCAGGACTCAGGCACAACCCCCAGATGCCCTAGTCAGCAGGGCACAGGACTCTTCACCGTACATCAGTTGCTGTGTTGTTCTTGGAGAGGGATTAATGGCCCCACCATCCCCTGAACTGTTGTCCCTTCCAAGCATGGTCTCTCTTAGAGACACAACAACCATACAGGTTTGCTTGGGGCTTCAGGTTTTTTTAGGTCTTTAATAGAAGTTTTTATTATGAAACACTCAGGTATACCCCAAAGTGTAGTTAATAAGATTATCACAGACAATTGTGTTCCCACAGTTGAAGCAACAAAACATCCCTGACACAACCGAAATCCCTGTGTGTCCCCTTCAGTCCATCTCTACCTCCACCCCCGCCAGGCTACCACTCACTGAATTTTGTGTTTCTCATTCTCATGCATATTTTTATACTTTTCTCACATAATTACATATCCATATTATTCAACATAACAGAAATTATTTTTGTTCAGATCTTGTTGCCACTTGTCATTTTCATACAATTGGATGTTATGATCTTTTAGGCACGATGATAAGTGCAGCTTTGAATCTTCCACCGTATCATAATTGTGAATATTTGTTGAGCCCTCATTCTACACCAGGCATGCTTTTAGGTGCCTTACCTGCCTTAACTCATTTAACCTTCACAACAAAATTATTTTTATCCCCACTTTACAGATTTAGAAACAGAGGCACAGAAAGGTGAAATTATGTACCCGAGTCACATAGCTTGGAAGCTGTGCTCTTAATTGCTAGACATCACTCCTTCTACTGCTGCGTGGTCTGTTGTATGAAAACACAGTCATTAGCCATCTGTTCTCCTATTTAAGGGCCGTTGCTTATTTTTGCAGACATGCCTCAACTTTAGTCTCACAGGGTTTGGGGGCGGTTGTATTATCTTGCTTAGTTCCAACATCAAGCCTGTGAGTGGATGTCTGTATCATCTCCCTTTACAAATGAGGAAGCTAAGGCTCAGAGAGGGTAAATCGCCTTCTCAAAGCTGCACAGCTCCAGCAAACCAGAGGTGGACTGTGAACCTGGGCTCCTGCAACTGTAGAGACCAGGGGTTCTCCCGAATCCCATGTGAGCCCTCGGTCCCCCACTGGCTTCCTCTTGGCTCTGTCCGTGGCAGCCTGCCCTCCCTCTCCCAGAACACCCCTCCCCACACCTGGCATCCAGGCTCCCTCCTCTCGCCACCCTCCACCGTCCTCCTTCCAGAGAAGGGGCCCAACCGGAAGGCCAGTTTGTGTTAGGAAATTCCAGCCACATGAGCCAACCCAAGCCTGGGATTCTGAGCAGCCGGTGGCTTTAGGAGAAACTGAAACTTGGCTTGCTGGGGGTGGAGTGGTCACGGGGGATTTAAAGAGCTGCCACTTCCTGGGGTTCCCAGAGGGTACTGGGAGGTCACAGCGGAGGAGGGACGACCTGAACCGGGTGTGAGCCTCTGTTCTCCTGCCCCACCATGCACCTCTGTGGGGCTGACGGGCCGCTGATCAGGATGGTGAGTGCAGGGGCCAGGTTCAGGGGATGAGAAGGGGAATATGCCCCAGGGTGCCCGGTGCCAGCTCTGTTCACATGGGCTGTGTGGCCGAGGGCTCACACACCCTCTCTCTGGGCCTCAGTTTCTTTAGGGGATTGGATCGAGGGCTCTCCTGCTCTCACATTGCAGATCCAGCCTCCGGTTTAGAACTTAGCCTCTGAATACTGCTCTCTCCTAACCTACCTGTTCGCTCACTGCCATTCCAGGAGCCTTCCCTTTCCTCCCCGAGTTCTCTAGCCATGGTTCCCTTGGAACCTTGCCTCTCTCCCAGGACCCAGGTACCAGAGGCCCACCCACTTCTCTCTCTGCAGGTCTTTCCCCCAGGCTCCAGTCTCTCAGTCCCCGCATCACCAGGAAGGGGCCTGCTATGGCCATGAACCTAGGAGCACAGAGTCCTCCACCAGGGAAGCCAGGGTCCTGCCTGAGGTCCCTACACTCAGAACACACCTCCCAGAGTGACCTGTGGGAGGGCGAGTTGGGCTGTGGGGTCTCCAATGTTCCCTCTTGCCTGACCTTCCAGAGCCCTGGGCATTTGGATTAAACATTTCATCTAAGTTTCATGAACCCCAGTGTAGGGGGAGGGTCACAGCTGTCAACCTTTGAGTCCACTCTTCTATCAGAAGGGACTCGATTCACCCATTCTAGGCTGCTGTCCCCCTAGAATGCGAGCAACTTGAGGGCGGGAAGTTTTGCCTCTTTTCTTTGCTGCTGTGTCCCCATAGCTCAGTGTGTGTCACATAGTAGGCGCACAAGAAATATTTGTTGCGTAAGTGAATATCAGCTTTGGGCCTGAGCTAGGCATGGGAATATGGAGTGAAATCAGAACCCCCGCCCTGCCCTTACAGACAGAGCTCATGGCTAGAGAAATCAACACCTTGACCGTGGAAGTAATAGCAATCAGAACAAGAGTGGCTGACTTTTATTAACCCCTGCCTGCTTTATGTCCTGCGAGGAAGGCGCTGGTGCCTCCACTGTATGGATCAGGTAGCTGGGCACAGAGAAGTGAGTGATCTGCCCAGAGTAGCACGGCTGATAAGGAGACGGTGGGTGTGAAGTCGGTCCTGTCTGGGTTTGAATCCTCGCTTGTGCTGCCCCATCGTGAGCTGTGAGCAGGACACGTGGGTGAGGCTGGCAATCCACCGAGGAGTGCTGTGTCTGCGATGGGGTGTGTGGACACCGAGGGAGCCAGAGAGGGCTTCGAGGAGGAGGGGGACCCTCGGGGACTTGATTCAAGAAGGGTATGGCTTTACAGCTAGCCAGCCCCTGCCAGGACCCCTGAGCTTTTGGCCTGTCTCCCTACAGGACCCTGAGGAACATCAGAGGCAGCTGAAGAAGAAACAGAATAACCGTGCGGCCGCCCAGAGGAGCCGGCAGAAGCACACGAACAAGGCGGATGCCCTGCACCAGGTGGGGGATGCCTCCCTTCCCATTCCTGATGTCACTTACCTGGCCCGGCCACCTCTTCTCTGTCCCGCCTATGAGCAGTTCCCCCTGCACTGCCGTATGTGCCAGGGGGCCTGAGTTTGGGAGGAGGGAAGGGCTTTGCAACTGAGATTTGGAAATTCCTGGGTGTTGAGTGGAAACCGTGTGCCAGACACACGCTGGGCTCCAGGGACATGACAGTTCATCCTCAGCCCGGGCCTACCCTCAAGGCACCCTCAATTTAGGGGGAAGAGACAAGGAGGGAGGCAAACAGGGAAAACCTGGCTCAGTGACCAGCTGAGGCACTGGTTACAATGCAGCTCCTGGCCCCTCCCCACCCAGGACCCACCTCAGGAGATGCTGCACTCTGATGGATGGGTTCTGATGGGTTTGGCCAAGACCACGCTGTGAGAAACCGGTTCGGGGTTAAGATGGGCTGGCTTTAGAGTCCCAGCTGGGGCACTCATTAGCTGCAAGTCACTTCCTTCACTGAGCTTCACTGTCCTCATCTGAAAACGGGGACAGTAATCCCTGCCCACTGGCAGGACCCTTGTGGAGACTAAAGAAGGCAAAGGAGCCCGGTGGGAAGGGGGAGGGCTCCATTCACACTTGCCTCTTCACCTTGGACGGTAACCTGACCTTGGAGCTTCCCTTCTACCTCTATGCAGAGAGAAAGGACACCACCAGTTCCATCCCAGGGGCTCGATTAGGCTGGGTTCAGAACCTGGCCTTTGGGAGGGCTGCATACATGTTAGTCCTTATAGCAATGAGTAACATTCAGAGCCCTCCACACCCAAAGGCCCTACACTCTCTGTAACCCCGCCCGCACCTGTCCACTGCCCTCTCCTAACATCCTACACCCTGTTCTCTCCGTTCCTTCACTGGCCAAGCACATCCAGCCTCAGGGGCTCCCCCTGGCTGCTCCGTCTACCTTCAGACAGCAGCCTAGCTAGATCCTCACTTCTTTCTGGTTGTTGGTTCAAATGTCACGTCCTCAGAAGGAGGTGGTCTTTCTAAACATCTGATCTAAAGAGACCTCTCCCATTACTCGGCTTTATTTTTCTGGTTAGTACTGACTTTCTATCACATATTTAGATGTGATCACTGCTTGTCTTCCTCACCAGACTGTAAGCACTCTGAGGGCAGGGACCTATTCTGTTCCCTGCTGTTTCCCCATCACCTGGACCAGTGCCTGACAAATAGAAGGGACTCAATAATTCCCTGTGGAGCGAATGATAGAGTCAGGGTAAAGTGCTTTGGGAACACATAGGTGAGAGCAACACGCGGGTAGTTGGGTCAAGGTGGTATAGAGATGAAGCCTGAACTGGTTTTCAGGGATGAATAGGAGTTTTCCAAATGGATGAAGGTAAGAAAAGGCATTTCAGGCAAGTGAAATAGGGCTGGCGTGGCCATAAGAGAGTAGCACCCTGTAGAATGAATGATAATGAGGACTGATGCCTGGGATGGCGCCTGCCTGGCAGTGGTAGAGACTTCATGCGTTCGTTTATTCCTTCCTTCCAGAAATGCCTATTGAGTATCTCCTGTGTGGCAAGCACAATTCTAAGCATTGGAGTTACAGCTGTGACGACAGCAGACAAAAGCCCAGCTCACCCTCCCCAGGGCTCGTATTTTCATGGGGGGTGCCGGACAAATAAATGACCTATGAGGTATTTGGGATATCAGATGGTGATACGTGCTTTGGTAAAAAGTAAAGCAGGGAAGAGGGAAGGGACTGCGGCACGTGGGGTGATAGAAACCTAACTAGGGAAGCCGTCCCGGAGGAGGTGACATTTGAGCAGCCTGAAGGTGGCAGATGAATGAATGAGTGAACGAATGAGTGAGGAGCGAGTGACTCAATTTCTGGAGGTGAATTGAAGCCTTTGGAGAATTTAGGTGAAGGGTGACCTAATGACATGTTTTTAAAATGTCTCCACATTCCACGGCAGAAACCAGCTTGGGAGTGGGGCTGCGGGTGGCTATGAGGCCTGTTAGAACTTTGAGTCCATGGCTTAAGCAACATTTTAATGCGAAACACCCTTGCAGCTTCTTCTTTTAAAAAGTGTCCATAAAGGGGGGTAGGTGGGGGAGGGGGCCAAAGGAAGTCACTGAGCCTGATGAGCTGTGGAAATAAAGTTCCTTCTGCGTTTTCCACCATTGCTGTCATCATAAATGGTTGTTTAGAACTGCTGTCCCACTGGGACAGCACCCAGGGTTCAGCAGAACAGAACCTAAATGTGGAACAGAACACACCTGTGCTACCAACCTGTAAAACATGACCCTGGACTCCGGCCACGGTGCCTCAGTGGGAAAGTTCTGGGCACTGGGGAGGTCTGGCAGTGGCACTAAGCCGCCTAGAGGTGTCCAGGACAGAGGACATCTAAGTTGTCACAAGAAGGCCGTGTCAGGATTAGCCCGAGGATGGGGGTGCTGGAAGTGTCCAGGCAGGGGAGAACGGAAGTGTGGCAAGGAAGCAGCGTCCATATGGGGAACAGGAAGTAGGGGCATCAAGAGAAGTCGGAGAGATAAAACTGGAGGTGTGAACTGGGGCCACCATGCACAGGGAGTCATTAGAGACTTTAAAGGGCTTTAATGTTCGATTAACGACGCAATCACTGAATGTCTCCTCTGGGCCAAGAGATCTGGGTGGTTTGGGGGGCACGCCAGTTAGGAGGCTGGTGGAGCTCCCAGGTGAGTGGAGATCCCAGGCTGACTAGCTCAGGGACCTGGCAGCAGGGATGGAGAGCAGGCAGATTTGAGCCCTAGCAGGAGGGTGAGTTGGGGGGACTTGCTGGTGTTACAGAAGGCTGGCCAGAGAGTAGCCAAAGGGCATTCAGACAGCGGTGGCATCCTTCCTCCTAAATCGAAGGCCCTGGGGGATTGGGAAATAGGGCTCTTGCTGGGCCTCTGATTCTGGCTGACATAACGCTCCCCACCCATCTGCTTCTCCCCCCAGCAGCATGAGTCACTGGAGAAACACAACCACACCCTGAGGAAGGAGATCCAGGCCCTTCAGGCTGAGCTGGCGTGGTGGAGTCGGACCCTGCACATGCATGAGCGCCTGTGCCCCATGGACTGTGCCTCCTGCTTGGCTCCGGTGTCCCCTGGTCGCTGGGGCCAGGCTGAGTGGCCCCCAGGCCCCGTGTGCCCTGGACAACATGGCTGCCAGGAACAGCCAGGCCCATTCCGGACCCCGGTCTCCTCTCCGATGGCTCTGCAGCTCTCTCCAGATCCACAGCCTCATGGTTCCCTTGGCCTCCTCTTGTCCCCTCTGCCCTCACTGTCCCTTGGTCCCGCCCCTGTCACTGCATCCTCTGCCCAGCCGTCCCCTAGCCCTGTCCAATCTGCCTCGCCCACTGGCTCCGGCCTGCTGAGGTCTTCCTCCAAGCTCAGCACCCTCCTGCCCAGCCCCCCAGCCCAACCTCCCCGTCTACAGTCCCTCGGGCTGGAGCACCCCACCAGGGGGAAGCTGGCGTCCTCAACCCACAGCCCCTCAGCTCCTCTGGGGCTGGGCTTTCTGCAGGGCAGGGAGCATAAAGCCTGCTTCCCCCGCAACAGATCAGCAAGGGCCCCACCCCCTCTGGCCTTCCCCCTGCTCTCCTCTGCTCAAGTCTACTTCTAACCTGGCCCCCAGAGCTGGGCTGGCCCCTTCCTTGGACTCAGGAAGCAGCCTCAGCACGTGGGCATCTCCTCTGTTGCCACTGGAAGCTGCCTTTATTGGCTGACCAGCTGAACCAGTATTTCACCAGGGAAAGGAAGCCGTTACTGTGTGCCCACCACTCTGCCAGGTCCTGTCACCGCTACTTTCTTATTTCAACCTCATGGTCATCCTGCAGAGTCCAGACTGTCAGTCTGTTTTTCAGGAGTGGGAAGGAGACACGCTCAGAGAAGCCAGATGACTTGGCTAAGGTCACACAGCCTTTCTCGGGACCTGAAACACCACGATCTGCTCCTCCTCCTAGTGGGGTCATGGCCCAGTCACCGCAGGGGCTGAAGTCCTAGAAACTGAGAACTGGTGTGAGAGGCTTAAGTGCTGGGAGTGGGGAGGGGCTCTCCCTTCTGCTTTGTGATTCCCAGGGCCACAGAGCCCTGCAGTCTCTGAAACCTTGCCCTCTCTGGGGCTGGTCCAGAGTCCAAGCCTGGATGGGGAGGGGCCAGGCAGGAGCCCAGAAGTGAATTCTTTCTGTTATTTTCAGTGCCAAAGAACTGAACCTGTGGGTTGGAGTTGGGGACAAGCCTGGAGCAGTCCCCCCTGGGATTTCTACACGCTGAGTACCCATAGCCATACCATGACCTTGGGGACATTGCCAAGGGTTAGCTCTCCAGGCTACTCCCCAATAACTCCATGGGCCATGGTGGGTGGACTTCTGAGAGCATTCATGTCATGCACAAAAGGCAGGTGGAAAGAATGAGGGAAGGACCAGGTGCAAAGTTATGTTTAAGCAAGTGCTGGACTTGAACCTGGCCGCGGTGAGAACTGTGCCTTCTCCGGTATCACCCCCATCCCTGTGCAGCCCTCAGGCCCCTCTGAGCAGTGCCCCTCATTGCTCTTTGGCCTGATGGCAGCTGGAAGAGCAGGGCTTGGGGCTAGGTGGGAGCTCAGCTGTAGCGCCTGCTTGGGGATGGGGGTGGGGTGGGGGGTGGCGGGTTCTCACTCAGACTCAGGACAAACACTGTAAGGGGCCTGAGGTGAGAAACTCCAGCTCTTCACCCAGATTTTCACACACATGTAAACAGACACTATGCTAGTATTTGACACACTCCAGGATGCTGAGTACAAGTCTTGGTACCTAGACTTTATGGTAAATAAAGTGTTGTCCAATTCTTTTTGCTTTGGTTATTTGTTTAAAGCTCTGGCTGTACTTTGCACTATTGAAACCAAAGGGCCTTTGCAAGAAGAGGGAACAGTCTAGAATCTCAGAGGCGGGTGATCCCTCGTAGACCTCCTAACCCAACCCCCCTTCCCATACTGCAGATGAGGAAACTGAGGCCTCGAGATGTGATGGAAGTGCTTGGACTCATGCAGTAAGAGGAGGTGTCATGGCCACAGGATTGTGGATGGCTGCAGAGCTGGGGTCACCAGTAGGTTCAGGGAGAACAGACTGGTGGGAGGGAAGCCAAGATGCTGTTGGTTGGAGGTCTGGGACAAGAGTCGATATGATGTACGGTGCTCCAGGACTCACAGGGAGATGAGGATACTGTGGCCTGGCTTGTGTCTATATACCCTAAAATTTGTCAGGCACTCTGTGTTTAACTCGGGTTTACTCAATGATGACTCTAACAACTCTGCAAGGTAGATATACTTATTACCCCTCTGTTTGGAAGGGGAAAGTGAAGCCCAGAGGTGTTAAGGTCACATAGCTAGGAAATGGTGTAGGGTCAATGTAACTTTTAGGAGCACTTAACCACAGGTGATCCTGCCTTCTACCTTCCCGGAACCTTCCCTGTTAGGCCCGGAATGGAGGAGCCGAAACATGCCCATAGATGTGACCCAAGAAGGTAAAACCCTACTTTAAGCTCAAAACAAGAGAGGGGAGTCACTTAATTAACGTTGGTACATTCATACCCTGAACAGATGCTAAGAACAAAGAATGCTTTGAAGAATATTTAGTGAGGTGAGAAAATGCTTATGACATATCAAGCAGAAAAAATAGAATGTGCAACTGTCACTATAGCGTGATATTATGTTTGTTTAAAAATATAGACAGAATCAAAGGAGTGCAAGGAGGTGTTGTAGATTCTTGAGGGAGATGAGCTAATATCTGTGAATTCCCAAACTGTAAACACAGCTACCACTGTAGCAGAAGCCTTCCACATGGTTGAATATATCCTAGAAATCTGTATCTGGGTGTATCTATTGCTGCGTAACAAATTAGTCCAAAACTCAGTGGCTTAATCAACAAACATGTATCATCTCAGTCCCTGTGGAGTGGGAATCTGTGCATAGCTTAGAAGGTACCCCTGGCTCAGGGTGTCTCACGGGCTCCAATCTAAGTGTTGTCCAGGGCTGCAATCATCTGAAGGCTCAAGTGGGAGGATCCACATCCAGGCTCACTTGTGTGGCTGTCTGCAGGCCTCAGAAGGTCCACCCCCAAGCTTATTCACAAGGTTGTTGGCAGGATTGAGTTTCTGGAGGGCTGTTGGACTGAGGACCTCAGGTTCTTTTTCTTTTCTTTTTAATATTTATTTATTTATTTGGCTGTGCAGGGTCTTTAGTTGCAGCACACGAGATCTAGTTCCCTAACTAGGGATCAAACCTGGGCCCCCTGCACTGGGAGCGCAGAGTCTTAACTGCTGGACCACCAGGGAAGTCCCCCTCAGGTTCTTATAGGCTGTTGGTTGGAGATATTATTTCCTTGCCACTTGGGCCTCTCCACAGGGCCGCTCAACATGGCAGCTGCTTCCCTCAGAGCAAGTAAGCTAGAGAGTGAAAAAAGGTGAGCGATACAGAAGCCACAGTCTTTTTGTAACCTAATTTCAGACATGACATCCTGTCACTTTTACTATATTCTATTGAGTAGAGACAACTCACTAGATCCAGCCCATGCTGAAGAAGAAAAGATTACACAAGGGCATAAAACCCAGAAGGCAGGATCGTTGGGGGACATCTATCTTAGAGGCTGCCCATCACACTGGGTGACAACCAGCACTTTCTTGGATCCCTTCTTTCTCCTTTTATCATCAGCACTAGCAGCTGGCTTTCTCTGGGGAGACCATTTCTTTAGAAGGAAACAATTTTGAACCTTTTGTGGCAGTGGCAATGCCCCTACAGTGGGCAGAGAGGATCTGGTAGGTTTGAGGCTGCAGCAAGGCTAGAGATCCACAGCCTCAAGGCAGCCTTGCAGCAAGTACAATGCAGACACTCACTCCTCAGAATGACCTTTGAAGTGATGCATGAACGGTCAGTGCTGAAATAGCAGGTAGGTGTGGGCCAAGAGTCTTCTGTGCTTTGAAAAGTAATCACTCACTGGAGGACTAAAGTTTAAATTCAATTTAAACTCTTTGAGCTGTTATTTTTTTTTTTCTGGTATTCACCTCTATAGTGGGTTGAATGGTAGCTCCCTAAAAGATAAGTCCACCCATAGCCTGTGAATGTGTCCTTATTTGGAAAAAGGGTCTTGCCGATGTAATTAGGTTAAGAATCTCAAGATTAAATCATCCTGGATTGTCCAGGTGGGCCCTAAGTCCAATGACCAATAAGAGGAGGTCGCTAGTAATGGGAAGAGAAGACACAAAGAAGAAGGTCATGTGAAGACAGAAGCAGAGATAGGCAGCCTCAAACCAAAGAATGTCTGGAACCACCAGAAGCTGGAAGAGGCAAAGAAGGCTTCTCCCCTATGGAACTTCAGAAGGAGTAGGGAGAGCCGTGAGGAAGCTGTTGTACTCATCCAGGTGAGTAATGGTGGTGGCCATGACCAGGGGGTAGCAGGGAGGTGGTAAGATAAGGCCTGATTCAGGGTATGCTTTATAGATAGAGCTGATGGGATGTGCTCATGGATTGGATGTGGGGAAAGGGAGGAAGGAAGGATGAGGCTGCAACTTGGGGCCTGAGCAACTGGTGGTTGGTAGTGCCAAAGACCAAGAAAGATTGGGAGAGGAGCTTGGAGTGGGTGTGTGTGGCGGGGAGGGGAGATCAGGAGGCCTGTTTTGGCCATGTCAAGTTTGAGATGCCTATTTGCCATCTAACTGAATAGAAAAAGAGTTTGGCAATTAGGGGAATGGTCAAGACTGGGTATATAAATTTGGAAGCCAGCAGTGTACAGATGGGTGGATGGACACTGGGGACCAGATAAAATGATCTGTGAAGGCCCTTGAAGCTGTGTCTCTATGTGGGCCTCCTCTTCTTGTGCCCCAGAGCTCTCTCAACCTGGCACTCCTTCCCTCCTGCACGCCCAGAATCTGCCCCCATCCTTTCTCATCAAATGCTTCTTCCTCCAGGAAGCCTCCTATGATCCTCCAAGATAAAAATGACCCCCTCAGGCTCCTAATCACACCCATGTGCCTTTCACCAGCATCTATCATTTTCCTTCTTGTGTGACTGTGGCTTTTTATCTTTCCATCTCCCCAATGGCAGCAACTAGTCAAGCCCTCCATGAGTACTTTTAAACAGCTCATTCACTGGGAGGCAGTAAAGCATGATGGTGAGAGAGCTTGAGCTCCAGGGTTAGATAGGATTGGGTTCACGTCCCAGCTCCACTACTTCCTGGCTCAACTTCTTCAAGCCTCAGATTTCTTATCTGAAAAATGGGAACTGAAAAATGTACCCACCCACAATCTACCCTATGTATATGTGTGTATGTGTATACATATCCATATATACGTGTAAATATAATATATATTATATATATAATAGAAAAGCATATGTTCACCAAAAGACATGAACAGAATTTTTATATCAGGAATATGGATAAGGGTAGAAAACTGGAAACAACCCAAATGCCCCATCAAGAGTATAACAAATAAGGACTTCCCTGGTGGCACAGTGGTTAAGAATCCGCCTGCCAATGCAGGGGACATGAGTTCGAGCCCTGGTCCAGGAAGATCCCACATGCTGTGGAGCAACTAAGCCCCTGTGCCACAACTACTGAGCCTGTGCTCTAGAGCCCGCGAGCCACAACTACTGAGCCCACGTGCCACAACTACTGAAGCCCGCGCGCCTAGAGCCCGTGCTCCACAATGAGGGAAGCCACAATGAGAAGCCCGCGCACCGCAACGAAGAGTAGTCCCCACTCGCTGCAACTAGAGAAAGCCTGTGCGCAGCAACGAAGACCCAACTCAGCCAAAAATAAAAATAAATAAAAAGTTTAAAAGTAGAAAATAGCTAATCTATGCTGTTAAAAGTCAGGGTTATGGTTACAGTTGGAGGATAGAACCTCGAAGGGGACAGGAGGGCCCTCTGGGGTGCTGATAATATTCTGTTTCTTGAGCTTTGTGGTGGTTACATGAATATATTCACTGTACGAAAATTCACTGAGCTGTATGTTTATGAAATGTGCTCTTTCCTGTTATGTCTTATATACTTCAATAGAAAAGGGTGGATGTAAGGAGCACATCACAGTCCCTGGCATATAGCAAGTGAGCAATAAATATAAGCTACCGCAAAGGAATGAATGAAAGAACCCATGCCTTGGCCCCAAGTGAAGCCATTAACAATCAGAACCATGGACAGGTCAGAATCTGCATTCAAGGATGGCTGGAGGAAAAGGAAGAGATCTCTGGTCTGATACAGGGGACTCGAGGCAGGAGAGAATCTAAGACATTTCCTCTGAGATTAGCAGTTCAGTTCCTTCTGAAGGGCACTCCTATCATGCAGAAAGGAGAATATTCCTAGGGGACCATGGGTATCCGTGTGTGTGTTCATGCAGAATTTCATTCCATTTTAAAAAGTCTGCAGCCCCTTGTTTTTCTAAGCCAGTGAATGCTGAAATCTCCCTAGAGAGGCCAATCCTGGATCCAGGACATCCCCATCTTGCTCAGGTTCTTGCAGGCTTTGCTCACAATCTTGGGCTTGTGTTTATCTAGTTAGTGGGGAGAGGGAAGGACTCCAGGCAGGGTAAAAATAACCTATGATGGAAGATTTCTCAGTCATGCGCAGGCTCCAGGAAGGAAGGCATATTTTTTTTTTTTTTTTTTTTTTGCGGTACACGGGCCTCTCACTGTTGTGGCCTCTCCTATTGCGGAGCACTGGCTCCGGACGCGCAGGCTCAGCGGCCATGGCTCACGGGCCTAGCCACTCCGCGGCATGTGGGATCTTCCTGTACCGGGGCACGAACCCGTGTCCCCTGCATCGGCAGGCGGACTCTCAACCACTGCGCCACCAGGGA